TGAAGCGATGCTTTATGACCGCAAAGAGGCAATCGATTCGAATATTTACCTGAAGGGCATACCTGAAGGCCAAAAGCCGTGAAAATTCAGGGGTTCTACACGGAACATCTTCTCGTTGTACGACCTATCATTTGCACGGATTAGTTGCCGATTCAGCTTTACGATCCCCATTGGGCGCTTCGTTAGCGGCAGATAAGAGAGTCCTAACCTAATAGCTTGACGGAAATGGTCTTTGTCCAACTTACATTGATATTTTTGGGGTGCCTAACACAAGAAAACAGCTTCGACAATCACAACTCGAAGGGGGCGTAAAATGGCGCCGTTTAATAAGCGCACCGTGAGGGGAGGTCAAGGGGGGGGGTCAGATGCCTGACTAGCTCCCATCTAAATCATTGAAGTTTCCCAACGGGGTCAGTAACTTGGTACAAGACTGGTCTGACAGGAAACACTGAGTGTTATGCCGAAAGAGGATCAAGCCTTCGTTGGTGTCTGGTTTCTACCTAAGGGTTCCTATCACATATCAACTCCTTGTATGGACCAAATTGTTTCAAAAAGCCAATATGATTCGGTGTCTAAATAGGATACATGGCTCACACCGCAAGGGTCCAACATCGAAAGCTTCCTTTTATTTTTTGTAGATTCATGGCGGGTTAAGTGTTTTCAGTTTTTTTTGCGTCTAGATTACTTGTAAGTTGAGAAGAATTAACTATAAGAAAAAGAATCAGTTCAGAGAACGTAGGTCAGCCCTTCTGGGATGTGCTGTGCATTCGGTTTTCATTGAAACCAGATTTCATTTGATGGCTTACTTATCCAGGACCAGTGTCAGTGCTATTAGGACAATGTGCCTTCAAATAAGGTGCTGTTAAAAATAATAGAAGCGCGTTGAGCGCGAAGTCTGAACTCTACCGTAAGAAACGAATGACAAGTGCCCAGAACACTGAGTAACCCCTAGCAGAGGGTTGCACCTACAGAACAAAAAATACTTTCAAACGAATAGTTCTATTTGTGAGCGTGAGTGGGCGCCGAAGGGTTAGCCTATTCTGGAACATTCCATTTCTAGGGGATAATCTTTAATCCTTTTAAGATTGATGAAGGCGGATTTCTCACGTTTAATATGTGATTCTCATTGCGACAATCCACTTAACTCCTGTATAATACCATACAAATCTCAATAGGCATTATTGTTGTGTTGTGTTGTGAAAACACATTCACTTCTATGTAATTACTTTCATGGTAACCATAGTGACGAAATTGTTAATTCTGTTAAACACTCTGAAATTGCTTCAGCGGAAAAGTTCAAAAATTGAACCAAAGTGCAATGAAACAATATGTAGAATGTTGAGT